ATTGTCTAAGCCAGTATTCTTAAGATTATTTGTAGCTATATAAGGCAAAAATTTAACATCTAATAAAAGATACAAGGTGAAAAAAAAAAAAAAATTTTAAATAGTCGGGTCAAATTTTTGTAAAGTATACAAGTTAACATTTAGATCCAAGTTTAAATTTAAATCGACAGAATTAATTTGACATAGAATTATTTGACATTTTTTTTAAATTGTATGCAAGTCATTATGAAATATTAATTTTTAGTTTTTTAATTTATACACACGCATTCCAGCTATATTTTGTATTGTTACGTATATTAAATTACGCAAACTAAATTGAAATAACAAACAAATTGATTTTTGTAAAAAAACTCAATCGTCAAGCATATTGATATAATTTGTATTTATTCAAATAATGTATGTTTTTTCAGATTTAAAAGTTATCTGTCATATTAAAAACATAAATTTAATGTTTATTAATTTCTTCAACTCAAAAAATGATATATTTTTCAACAAATCGTCCTTATTACATTATCTACAAATTTATTTTAACTTACTGGCTATTCTAAAATTTTTTTTCAGCCTTCTTTAAATGTTAAAGTATCTGATGAATGCGTGACAACTTTTACCGATTTAAAGTTATGTAAGATATACAAATATATTTTGTATAAATTTTCTGAGGATAAAAATAATTTCAGTATTGATAAGGCTGTTGAAACAATATCCAATAACAAATCTAGTTATATAGAAAATTATAAAAACTTCTGCAGTGAAATTATTAGTAAAAATGAACCTTATTTCGCTATTTATGATTTTGAATATGAGAAGCTTAATGAAGGTCATCGAAATAAAATCATATTAATTTCTTGGTATGTTACTAAAAAGATAAATTTAATATTATTAATAAATTAAATAAATTAATGCCATGTTGTATATTTGTAGGGTCTCTAAGAATGCTGATGCCCAAAATAAATTTCTCTCTGCTGCAAGTAAACTAGTGTTAAAAGAAAGGTTTGAAATTGCGTATTTAATAGAAGGCACCGTAGCTGATAAAATTGGGTTGAAAAAATTCTTAATAAACTTAATAAAAATATAGCAATTTATTAAAAAAAAGTGATCTATTTATATATAATCCTCAAAACAATATTTATAACGACTAAAAACTTTTATATTGTCATATCTATACATTCAAAAGGGTTTATAATAGCATTCTTAAACAAAATTGTGCCTAAATTTTGCACAAATAAATTTTAAAAAAGATTCGATCCTTTCAAGTTATTTATATATAATCCTTAAAACAATATTTATCTAGATTCATGACGATAATATATAATAACTTTTTATATTGTTACATGGACCCAGTGTTGTGCATTTTCACTGTCCTAGCCTATTTTGCTATGTCACAACATCCCAACATTAAATCAATATTTTATTAGATCAATTAAACCAAAATTGTCTATGCGTATATACTAGAGTGTCCAGTTTTTTGCCTGCACAGAATCTACACAAATATGTACAAATTCTGGTTAAAAAAAGCTGAATAAGCAATTTTTTGACATTCCATTTGTTCATGATAGCAAAGATATATACTTAAAACATGTGATAGCCAAATCTTACAATGTGATGAGCAATTCGATAATTTCTCTGTAGATGGAGTTGATATTGATGATGCAAGCAGGTACAGTACATGAATACTCTAGAATAAATTTGTTATTTTACACTACTTTTTTATTTTATTGTTCAACTTGGATTTGATTATCAATGGAGAATGCTGTTTATGATTATTATTTTGATCCTAAACTTTTTTTTTATATTTCTAATCAGAATATATTTATAATTCGGGTATAGTAATTTGTGTTTCAAATTTGCTATTTTCATTAATTTTAGCCAAAATTGGTATTCTTGTTGATTTTTTTAACAGCTACCCACCTTTCCTTCGCAATTTTGGAAGATTTTGAAATAGTTTTACCAGTTCTTTTTTTATTGTAATTATTATTTTTTTTGTAGATTGTACTCAGCTGATACATCATTACAAAAGAGTATAAAACAATTTTGTAGATGTGGTATTGTATTAGACCTAGTTATTATTGACAAATTCTATAATCGATCTAATCGTTTTGTAGTTCGGATATTTTTAAACTCTTGAATAATCATTTACCAAATTAACTATTTTATTGTCTTCATTACTAAGATTAATTTCTTGCTGAGAGATAGGTATGCGGTTGGACTTATGTTCTTCTATTAGTTGATGAATTAGGCTGAGATTTATTGACTTTTTGCATAATTTTTTAATTTTTGAAATAAAAAATCATGCTTATATAATACACGTTAATCAGTTTCAAATGTGAACTAATTTTATGTATTTTTGTTGGATCGAAAAATAGATGTATTTTACATATTGTATTAAAATAATACAAAGTTTGGATTTTATGTAAATAAGAGAATATACGCGTATTTAATTGATTTAATTTTTTATTTTTCTCAAAGGTCAAATAATTTGAGTTTTAAAGCATAAAGTTTACTAATTTAATTCACTAATATTCTTGTTGCTGAATTGCATTTAATTTTTTATTTATCTAAAATTAAAAAGGATTAATTTAAATCAAAAATCATGTGTAATTGAAATTATAAATATAAAGATAAATTTCTGATTTTGAATTAAATCTGTAACTCCTATTTATTTTTATTTGTAAGCTTATTTATAAGGTAGATAAGCCTGTCAATTTTATTTATTTGTTTATTTATTTATAATAAAAATGATTAAATAATAAAATTACAATTAAATAATAAAATTACAATAATTCTATTCTATTCAATAGATTATTAATAAATTTATATTCAGTGAATAATGGGTCACATGATTATAGATTTATTAATAATAGTGAATATGTGAATATTTGTATTATTTCAATTAGTAACATCCTATATAAAAATTTTCAACACCTTTAATGACTGAAAATATATTGTTACGAAATGTATCGAAAATTTTATAATTGATAATTCAAAATGATGTATTATTTTTAAGAAATTTATTTGTTGCCATTATTGACCTCAAAATATTGCAATTAATAAATTAGAAAATAAAATGAATAAATCTAATCAATTTGATAATTGAATTATTTATAAACTTTGACTGATTATTAACAATTCAGAGTCCAATTAAGTTTTTTAAATTTATAAGCTATCAAATTATAATTTAAAAACAATATAAATTTGCGTATAAATTTTTTTTAATAGCAAAAAATACTGCAAGAAAATATCTCATGAAATGTCATTTGAAGACCAAACTATTAAAGAAGAGGAGTTTAAAAGAAATTTAAATGATTATGATGATGATGATGAGGAAATAACAGACGATAGCGATGATTTATTGAATGAAAATGAGAACAAAAAGATGTTTATGGCATCAATAATTGATGCATATGGTAAATTTTATGAAACTCAGAAAAGTCAGAATAAAAATAAGAAAAAAAAAGTAGAAGTAGACGGACTGAATATAATTTTGGAGAAAACGAATATGTTTTTACTGAACCTCTGAAGTCTTTCTACTCAAAAATTCCTGAAAATGACCTTAAAGATCAATTTTCAAAAAATAGCCAAAAAATGATCGAAGAATTAAAAAAAAAAATTAAATTTTTTATTGAAACTTTCCATTCAAGCAATGATATCAATTTTAATTATTTATGTGAGCCTTTGAGAATAGTTTTTAATGCTTATATAGATGCTGGACTCTTAAAACTAAAAAGTAAAAATTTAAAATTTTACTTTCTTAACAAAAGTTCTGCCATTGCAAAATTTAAGTTTAATGAAATTAATGTTGCAAATAAAAAAGCTCCTAAAGCGCAAAAAAATTCTACGACCTTATATTAAAAGATCAGCCAAAATCAGTTCAAATTATTATCTCTGCGATTGAGGCATCTAATAATTATATTAACTATATCTTGTCAACGTGGAAAAATCTATCTGATTATTATAGCGAAAAAAAAGCAATTCAGCAGATACAGAAAGAAGACGGCGAAAGTATTGTTAAAATTTTGCACTTAATAGAAATAAGATTTTCTGAAAGCATGTTTACCCAAGAAATTCTTGACATACCAAAACAATTGATTTTTGCTGCTTTGTTCTTTAAGTATTCTGATGAACACCAGCCACAAAGGAGAAAAAAACCAAAAAAAATATAACTGTAACTAATTTAGATACAGAAAAACTGAAGTATAAAGAGGTTATTGATCTACTTAACGAAGATCAAAGTGCCAATATAAGTGATGTTATAAAAGAATTTAAATCACAAAGTAATAGAATTTCAGTATTTAAATCAGTCAAAGAAGCAACTAATATTTTAGCATTTAAAATATTTAATGAAGTAGGCTCTTTACCTAAAGTAATCGCTAAAAAAAATACAATACAAAGGATTCAAGAATATCTAAAATCATCATTATATTTATTTATATATTGCAGCACTTTTGGTTTAGTTTTTTCAGTGGGTAATCCTTTAGGTGGAAATAAAGAATGGAAAAGTTTGAATGAGGATAATTTCGAAAAAACAGTAAATATACTAAAAGAAAATGAAGCGTTAAAATCAGCATTAGAAGAAACAAATCAAATCTATGGACCAAAGATTATATCTTCCTTAATTAAATATGCAAATGAATTAAAACTGAAAATTGATGATTTATCCTACCTTCGTAGAATTAGTGCTAATCTGGATGATAATTTTAAAATTGTAGATCCGAAAATTACACCTATAAAATACAATTTTTATGATCAGTTTGAACAATTTAGTATATATGATTTGGATAAGAGATATAATCAAGAAGAAACTAATAAACCGTTTAATGATCTAATGAATTATGATTATATGAAAAATGATGTAACAAGATATGAACCAGAAGGAAATATAGTAACAGACGAAGTCATATCAGATATAAATGAATCGGTAGAAAGTTATACTATTAATAATAAAGAAACGTCATTTGGATCAACACCTTTTGATGCTTTTCTAAATAAAAAGAAAAGGCTAAAAAATAAGCTTAATAAGAATCTAACTGGAACAACAGACCTAACAGACTATTCACAATTGCTAAATGATCTTAAAAATGATTTAAAAGATGGCCAATTTGGCAAGTTTCAATTCCAAATAGAAAAATTATTACTTAGTATTAAAACTGTTAAAGGAACTAATGATAATGCTCTACAACCGTTAAACAAACAGATATTAGATTTTAGCAGCAACTTATTTATTCACTTTAGTGAAGACTGGTATAAAAATATTAATAATGGTTTATTTACGAATACTATTAAATTCTTTGATGATAATATTGGAAATAATATACAATGGTATTCTGAATTTCGTAAAATTATTGATAGTGATATTGCAACTAGTTATAATTATTTGCATGAATTAAAATTAAGATCAATAATTGATTACGATAATAATCAATATAAAACTATTAGTAAAATAATTGATGATTTCGAATTAGAATTCAGTAAAAGTGATCAATTAAGTAAGGTAGTAATAATTTCAAACCACGCAATGAGTATTAATCGAAAAGCTGATAAATTTCTTAAGGTGTATTCTGATTACTTTATCAATTACTTACAAAAACTTCCGGTGTCTTATCAGGAAGAAAAAAATGAAATTCAAAGATTTGTTCAAGAGTACTTTAACTCTGAAGACAAATTGATTTTATTTATTAATATGCCTGAAAAAAGTCTATATTATGAAAACCTTGTCAAAAATAAAATTGTTAAACTTAATTAAGGATTTACAGAAGCATAGAATAAATTTCTTAACAAACAAAATAGGAACATATCATTAGAAGCAAATCAATTTACTAAAGAATATGAAGAATTTGTAATCTTTTTGCAAAATTTAGAGATAAATGATCCATATTATGAAGTTGCAAAAAACTTGGATAATTTTATTAGAAAAGGCCAAAATTCAATGCAACCAGTAGTTAAATTAGAAAAGTAATAATTAATCCTGTCTGTGATATAAATATCTTAAGAGTTACAAGGCTTTTTATTTGTACTAAATACAATTTTTAATATATTAAACTGATTATATTTGATAAAAAATATAATTTTACATAGATCTTTAGTATTAAATCTTGCAATCTATTATATTCAGTACTTTATTTTTGTTGTATTTGTCACTTTATTATAAGTTTAAAATTTTTATTTAAAATTATATCGTATATTTAAACTAAATTTTAAGACTTGTGTACATTTTATTAATAAAATTTAATTGTTAATTTAAATCTTCATGAAATATTAAGGTGACCATCTATATACCTGATATAGTACCCAGTATTTTTTGTTAGTACTTGTAAAATACAAAGAATTGGTCAATAGGTCATTTTGACTTATTCAGAATTATTTCTTTAAGAATAATGTCAATTTTTTTACTAGTTTTTAACAGAAAATTATATAACGTAAGGTAAAATACAGACCTAGTAATATAAATAATATATGATTTTTTAGTTTGTGAAATTCTTGTTCAAAATTTTGTTTAATAGCTTGAATCTTCTTGTTTAATTTGTTAAATTCTTGTTTTACTAAAACGTTCACAGATAATTTTTGTAAATCAATTTCATTTTGAATCTCTTTAATTACTAGCCATGTGATGCTAATTGTTACATGGTAAAACTTAATAAAAATTAGGCAAAATTTTAGGGTTTTATATTTTGTGCTATGTGACAATTAGCATCATATGGTTTCATCAGGCATCATTAGCAGAAACTCAATAAACGCAGTCAATTACTAAATGTCCTACCTTTGTTCTTATGAAAACTTTCTGTGAAAAGCATTGAAAACGATTAGAAAAGATTTTCTGCTAAAAACAAAACAAAAAATTTTACTTTATAGTTGTTAGACGAAACCATGTAATGTTAATTATCACTTGTTGTAAAATATAAAGATCTAAAAATTTAATCTAGTTTTTATTAAGCTTTGATATGTGACAATTAGCATCACATGGTTTCGTCTAACAACTATATTTTATTTATAAATGGGGGTACTTTGAATTTAATTTATTATGGTTAAACAGATAGTGAAATTGCCAGTTTTTAGACTACAATCGTATATCAAATTTTTAATTGCCCATATTAAAAAATTTAAAATAAAAAATCTTCAAACTTGGTATAAATTTATATTTTGTTTTTAATAATTTAGTAGATTCAACAATTAAAATATGCAATTTATAGATACATAAAAAAAAAAAGAATTATTGACTCCGATTTAGACGTCCCCTGTGTTAGAAAAGAGTCATTAATTGACTGCTGTTTTTTGTATTTTTTAGGTTTTTTGTTTTTATTTCTTGTTTTGCTTCGCCACTTTAGACGACCCCTAACAGAAAAAATTTGGTCGATCATTTTGACTTGTTCAGAATTATTTCTTTAAAAAATAATGTCAATTTTTTTTTTAAATTTTTTTTTTACAAAAAAATTAAATAACGTAAGAAAAACCACAAACCTATTAACATAAACACTAAATGATTTTTTAGGTTGTGAAGTTCTTGTTCAATATTTTGTTCAATATCTTGAATTTTCTTGTTCAATTTGTTAAATTCTTGTTTTACTAAAATGTTTGCAGATAATTTTTTTTGATTTAATGAATTAATTTTTAAATCAATTTCATTTTGAATCTCCTTAATCACTAGATTTGTGTTGACTTCATCTTGAATTTCTTGTGCTTGTATTTTATAAACAATTAAATTAATTTTTTTGTCAATTTCATTTTGAATCTCTTTAATTAAATTTAAGCAGACTTTATTCTGAATCTCTTGAGTTTGAATTTTTTTTTCCAATAAAATGATTTTTATGTTAATCTTATTTCGACTTTCTTTAATTTCTTGCTTCTTAAGCATTTCTAAAAGATATGCTTGTAGCAAATTAATTTTTAGGCTGATTTTATTTTGAATCTCATTCATCAAAGATTTTAAATATAATGGTTCTGTTAATGTGAAGGCACAATATAAAATAAAATAGTTATAAAAAAAATATTATTTAATTTGAAACAAACTTACTCATTTCATTTTCAGCAATATTCTCATTTATTTTCTTAATTAAAAAAATTTCAATTAATAAAAAAATATGGGCACGTAATTTGTATAATTCATAATTTTATATAATTTCATACCATTTCATTCAATTCAGAATACCTTTAATCAAATTAAAAAATTCAGAATTAGAAAAAAATATACCAGTATTAAAAATAAAAAGATATTATTACCTCTTCGTTAATTCTTTAATTTGTAATGTTTGATCTTTTATTGTTTTTTGTAGCTAGCTTTTATAACGTTTACATTCAGAAATATTTTTCTCAAGATACTTTATTAGGTCATTATTTTGGTTTATTTCACTTTTATATTTTGCAAAAAGAATAAACTTATTCAAATTATTGTCTAAGTCATTTATTGTTCTTTCTAAATGTATAACTCGTCATCGCAAATATTGGTTAAATGTAAAAACATTATCTTTTTTCCAAATAAAATTTTGTATTGAACTTTGAATAGGAACCATATTATCTTTTAATTCAACTTTAAGGTCTAAATTTAAAACCTTGTTCGGAAATACTGCTGGAAATTCTTGATGTTGTTGTATAGTAAAAGGTTCCAAATATTGGTTAAAGAACTCTAATTAATTTTTTGCAACAATTTCACAAAAGGCTATAAATAAAAAATTATAATTCTGGGAGGCTTTAAGAAAAAACTTTGTAATTTCATTATTGCTTAGTCTTAAATATTCACCAATTTTTATGCATAACTATTGCAGCTCTATATTTGACAAATTGTTTTTTTCATTTTTTTCAAAAATGGTGTCTAATTTCTTTCAATGTAATATAAGTTATTAATTAAAATTTTATTGTAATAAAATTTAACATTTATAGAACATACAGTTTAGTACAAATTTCATTCACTTTTTTTGTTATAAGTTTATCGGTAACATCAAACATATATTTTGCCTTTAGTAATAATAATAAAATAATGTGAGAAAATAAAATAAAATAAAATAAACAATTATATAACTGACCCATTTAAAAAATATGTCATTTTGATTTTGCATGATTTGTCTTCGAAATAAGTTTAAAAAAATGGTCAAAATTTTATTGTTTAAAGAATTTATGTTTAAATAGTCGTGTAAAATAAATTTTAAATTGAATTAAAGTTAATAAATTCATTCATAAAATATATTTTTTACATAATAATACAGTACAAAATTTAGAATTGCATTATTTTAGAGAATTCAATTACTTAATTTAATTAATTACTTGTTATTTGGTTATTAAGTTATTCTTGAATTTCTAGTAAATAAGCATCAATTGAATCATTTTTATTATTTAAGTTTTTTGTCTAATTTATTAAATCGATTTAGGTTAAAATTCGACAAATTTGACTTATGGGCTGTATTAAAATTTTTATAAAAAAGAAAGGTAAATAAAAAAAACCCAAATTAATTTTAAAAAAATAGAGAAGAATTTTTTACATTTAAGTAATCAACAATTAATAAATCAAATTCTTGAAGTTAACAATGATATTAATAATAACCTTTACGAAATCGAATCTAAAGATTATTATAAATATTTACTTTCAAGGCTATTAGAAAAATATTCAATATTATCTTTAGCAAATAAAGATAATCTTTTATATTCAAAACATAAAACAGTTGATCACAATAAAACCAAATCGGCAAAACATGACTATGAAAGATATTTAAAAGAATTTTTATTATTACTCAGAAACATCAAATTTTATTTCGATTATCAGAAAACAAATCAATCTAATTCACTTTTTAAATTATTAAATTATCTAAAAACAAATGATGATGATTTACAAAAAGAATTTGACCAAATCAAGTCACCAACACTTTTTGACTTAACTGAAGGGTTTAAAAATGTTATAGAAGCTAATAAAGATTTGACAATTTATTATAGATATACTAGTAATAGTTGTATTACAAATTGTTTATCTTTAGAAAATTTTAGATTATCCAAGAAAACTACTTTGGAAGATTTATTATCTTCTTATAAATATGCTAAATAGTTTTAATAAATATTTTACTATAATACAAGTTTGGTTTTAATTAAGTACATATAAAAATTATCTTAAATAAATAAATATTTGTATTAAATAAAGTACTAGAATAAGCATCGATCTAGAAATTGAAAAGTTTGAGAATATAATAAAGTAGAGATGTGAACCGTAAACTATTAGTTAATATAAATAAACTGTAGTTTTAGAGTTAAATTCACAGTTCACATCTCTATAATAAAGTAATATGAGTTTGCTAATTGGTTTTAATAAAAATTAATTTATAAATAAATTGCATTAAATATAAATAAAAAACT